TTGCCTTCTCGTAGAGACGGTCCGAGTTTCGAAGGGACCCACTGAGATCCCCGAAAGAAAGGCGAGCGGCCATGGCATCCCGAATCACATCTCCAGGTGATTCAACCGTGGCTAACCGCTCTACCAAGGCCTTCTTGACCTTCTGGTAGTCGGAGCCTTCTGCACTGATATCTCCGTTCTTGACAGAGGCTTGATAAATGAAGTCGAATGCATCTCCCTCCAGGTAGGGAAGGAGTTCAGATACCCTTTCTTCGTCCGACTTGCCAGAGGTGGCAACATTTTCGAACACGAAGAAGAACTTGTGGACGTCGGCCGACTTCGACCCGTCAAACTGTGACAGGGAGCCGTCTTCTTTGCCCCCCCTCCACAAGAGTACCATGTTGACAGCTAAAAAGGGGGCTGCGCGCGTAGGGGAGAGAGAAAAGCGAGATGTTTATTTCAAGAGGGGGGGTCGGTCCGGGTGTCGTTGTTGTTCCCCCCCATTGCCGTGTGTCGCGGCGCGCCCCTTTCTCTTATAGAGGGGCCGCCATCATCTTCCACTCCACAGGACCGCCGCCCTTCAAAGGGAGATTGTTCACGTGTACACCTGGCGTACACGCGAACCAACAAAATCACCTTTTTGAAGGCTTTAGTCCTGGGGCCACTCCTGGGTACTGTACCCTGTACAGTACCCCAAATCTCCCCCACAATGTGTATGTGTATCGAGGGTGCTCTCTTGACGATGGCGTCTGTTGATGATACCCTCTGTGCATGACACAGTGATTGTGTCAAGCGTGCTCAAGTACAGCAGCAACAGCAACTGAAAGGCTGCATGTAGACTGTCTATTTGCTGACTTATCTTTGTAATGTTTTTCGTATTGTTGCTCTGCGTAATCTATTACTCTACAGTATTAATCTTGGTGTATTGGCTGTTCTATGCAAGTTTGTCATGGTGCTGAACTCCGTTGTGAGACGTCGGTACCATCTCTATCTTCAGTATAAATATTGTCTCTGAATACGATGGTGAATAAACTCTCATGACGACCCGTCATCGACACAAAAGAAGAGAAACTTGTAACCTCATACCGTCGTTCATCTTCACTTCCAGCCAGCCCAGGCCATAATCTAAGTATAATGCTTCTCATGTAGAAGCTTTCATCTAATAGTTTTTTCAAAGCAACGAGAAGCAATGGCGCAACGAGCAACTCTTTTGCAGAATATACTCTTTGAAAATGAATGACACATCGCACTTATACAAGCTTGAATTGACCTTTGGTTCTCTTTGCCTTCATGTTGGGGGTCCAGATGTCTTCAATGACTCTTCTAAGGCTACTGGCACAGGACATCCAGTAATGCAATACAGTGCCTTATTCAAATAGAAAATAACATACAGGGGGGGTCGTGATATAGTGCTACCCTGTGTCAGTGGGCCGAAAACAGCACTATATCGAACCAGGCACTGTTAGATAATGAGATTTACGGCTTTTTTGCAGCCACTTCCTTGCATCACTGCTCAGAAAGACCGCTCGCAGGGCGCCATCACTCATGCTTTGTATCTTCACTACAGACTCAAGTCAAATCAAGCATTTCTGTTATTAGTAGCTGCCGAGCCGTTGCATTGACTTCCTCCTTTTTCGCAGCCATAAATGCCAGCCTACACTTTTGCAGATGTCCAATTGCATCATCGACCCTGCCTTTTTCCGCCATAGTCTCTATTCGAGTTGGCAACTGCATAATATCTTTCCGCGGCGGCAGCGGCTCTCGGGCAGTACATGTCCATCCAACCGCCTCCCTGGAGACCCTTCGTTTTTGGCTCAAAATTCGTGCCACCCGCAGAAGGGTAGCACTATATCGGAGCTGGCACTAACAAATATGGCACTATATCGCGACCCCCCCCCTGTACTGGAATAATTATCGAGACGAATCCATACTTGCCCAAACTGCAGTACCCAAGGGTACTGTACATTATCCTAGGGAACTAGCAAGGTACTACGGAGTATACTGTATACAGACGTTGTGTCGATCGACTTTCTATCTCCAACAATTGCAAAAATGATACTTACAGTGGTCCCGAATCTTTTTTTATAGAAACAAATCATTGTGCAATTCTACTGTATCATCTGGATAGGCAACGGAGGCCACAATGCACTTTTTCTCTTGGAGACGGTGCAAAATACCAATATACAAGGCGTGAAGGATTTCTACAGATCTACAAATTTATGTGATTTTCATCTTTCGCGATACGCAAGTCAACCACTTATGTAGAACAAACAATTTTAACGACTGAACTAAAACTGCCGGCGCGAGCTAATAAACCATAAGGCCTCATTATAAACATAATCAACTTCTACTTCTGCGCAAAATAAGTTTGTACTCTTAGAAAGAGCCGTTTTTACGGGTGGAAGGCTGGACGAAGGGGTCTGGATTCCACTAATTCTTAAAACTTCTTGGAACGAACACATGTGGAAGCCTCTAAAGTGCTAGACAAAATAAACTCTTCTTTTCGTTTCACTGCAATCCTTTCTTCGAGTAGTTCTTGTGATTATAGTTCGAGTAGCTAGATTGTGTTGAAGCCGTGTTTCAACTGCTATGTACAAATATGCTCTATTCCATTTATGACTCAGGCTCGTAGTTCCTGCAATAAAGCATCTATATATATCTCACGATTTAACGTCAAATAAATGGTAAATTCTGTCTTGCTTTCCCAAACCGATCAGCGTTGCGTTACATCAAAGTGAAGATCGGGGCGATGTACTTTATGCTCCAAAGATTTTTTGTTTCTATTTTGAGGGCCATCCAAAGTGAGACACTGTCTCGTCGAAAAGAGAAGAAGAGGACAAGTTTCGCAATTGACATTAGTTACACAGCCGAATAACAAGTCCTTCGATGGCAACAAGAATTTCGGAGGTAATTCTTTTTTTCTCGGCTAAACGGCATTGCACTATGGCATCTCAGCAGTCTTTTGAGATGCTTCTGACGATGTGGTTCTGGTCCAGATAAGAATCCCTTTGTACTTTTGACACGATCTTTTCTATGGTTTTCAAATGAAGCAGCTTCGGCTCCTCATTCTGAGCCTGTGCCCGTTCCACTACGGTGCCTTCGGCACGACGCAGACGTTATGCTAGTTTCTCGTTGCTTAGGTTCCCACGTTCACCGGCAGTTAAAAATGAAGATCACGATACCACTGTAGTAATGCAAAAAAAATTAGTGCATAGTCGTGCAATGCACTAGAAAATCCAGCTGGAATGACACTTTCGATGATCAGTACTGCAAATACACTTCTGCGGCTAACGAGAGGACTTTTCATGGTGTTAAGCAATTATTGCGATTGTTAGCCGGCCATACCAGGAAGAGCATTTCATTGCTCTTGACATGAGGGAAAGCCGTGTCCTTAGGTATATACAGTATGTCCGCAGAAAGCAAGGCGCTGCATATATGCGAATTCCTTCACGGACACGAGTCCAGAGCCGTTCGGAACCACGTTCAAGTTTTTGCTTGGATGCACAAATAGTGTGGCTAAAGACAGCGCAGGGCTGAAAGTCGAAGTAGGGCGGGAGCACCGTCGTGGATTTCCAGACTAATCAACCAGTGGTCATTGAAACGTACAATGGTTATGGTTAACGTGACGAAGAAAAGTACCGTAAGCCTGTGACGAGAATGGTTTGGGAGGCGGATGGGGTTGTGACATGATCCCCAATCTACAACACGCTAGGTTTCAGATGGCATCAATAGAAATGATCCGTTTCCATAATTGTGAACAGGCCCAGTAAAAAGGCGAGTAAATGATGCAAATATTGAGTGATGGGCAGGACTCCAAGACGAGGCGGTATAAAAACTATCCATTATCCCTTGCGCAACTCCGAGAGGACCCTCGACGACGGCGTGCAAGCGGCGAAACAGACTTGCTGGCTGGGAACGGAGTCAAGGGCTGCTTCAGCACATTCGCAATGCCGAGGAATAAAGGTTGTTCATTGGGCAAAGTGTGGTATAATGTAAAGGCTCTGGAGGGTTCAGAGTCAAGCCGTTGGGCTGACTATGAACTGTCCTGACAAGGGGCTCGCCGTATGGGCCACAGCTGCGCCATGCCGCTCGATCAAGTCTGCCCTCGTAGGCGTAAGCGGTTTCGGCGGAAAAAGCAACACCCTCCGACAGTACAGTATGCTACTGTTTATTCCGGGGAGGACGTATGAAGGCAGGCATACTGCATCATCCAACATTCTTGTGGTCGCAGAGCGAAAATGAACATCTAACAAGACCAAGAATCTAGGAAGTGCACGGGGACACTTGACGTTACCGCGGCTCACAAACGGATACGACACAGGAGACCATACAGCACGAGGGCATTCATTGTTATGATAAAAGGCAATTAGTCTGTGAATCCGGAAACTTGCCCTCTTTTACTCAACGCCCGCGTCGTCTATCCTTACTTATTCTGTACGAGCTCGAGACAGCCTGTCAGTATGTGTGCGGTCGGACTCCGAGAAAAGGGAGCAGAGTCAAAGAAGCGGTGCGGTCTAACGGAGTCCGCGCCCCCGAGATGAATAGCACCTTGTGCTGTAACATACTCCTCACGACCCTCATGTCAGCGCGAGTCCATTCTTTCGAATCAAAACATGGATCGGGGCGAAACATCGCGCGGCACGTGCTGATTGCTCTGCATCACGCTACTGCGTTACTTACTGTAATCATAAAAGATGTGGTACAGTATTGTACTGTACATTATGAGAATCCTACCGCGCGTAATACGTTTTCTGTCCCACCGTCATTGACGCATTTTGCGGATCGAACCGCGGTAATTCTGATCCAACCCGGTCCACCCCGGGACCGTCCTCACTTCCTCCTCCTCTCAGCAGACATCAGCATGGGCACACGAGAGCCCCAAATCCGCGTGGGGACTGTGCAGAATTTGTACGAAGCTGTGCTCTTCACAGACATGTGTCTGAGCGGATAGCGATTGCACTGGCCTTCTAATAAAAACTCGGCCGCCTTTCACAAGTCAAAAGACTGACAGAGGTCAGTGCATGAACTCTTGGCACGGTGAATATATACCCTGCCAAGCGTTAAAGCATGATACCATCAACTTTCACATTGAAGGCGACACTTACTATATTCCCCAAGTGAATAGGTGCGATAGACGTCAACAGACCTGTAACGCGTTGCGTCAGAACATCAACTCTAAAATGACGAACAAGGCAACATGTGTGCGCCGTGCCGAACGGCATTTCACACAGGATCACGGCGATGGCATTCACTCCTGCAATCGATGCCGGATAATACTGCCGAATTGCGCTCGCTCAGTACTCGTCGCAGTACAGTCGCTATGCCACGATTCGTCGCCTTGCCACAAAAACGTACTTAGCCTCGACTGTGTTTGACGAAATCATAGCAACCAAAGTTTTGCCAAGTGAACCAACTCTGGACAACGGACGCCATTGATATTGCAGGGAACTTCGACTGAGGAAAAAAGCGGCGTCACAGATCCTGAGAGCCGAATCGCATCCGAATCGCATCCGAAAGCATCCAAACATAAGAGCAGCTCTGAATTTAGAAAGGAATGCACACAACGAACGATCTAGGAACCTCGGCTGCGTAAAGAAGCAAAATTGATGCACTATCTTCCAAAGTGTCACTTCCACTTCTCCAGATCATTTCCTCGAGCTCGATTGCTTCTAACAAGCTCTTCGGACAATTCAATGTTGGCAGTCTGAGGAGATGCTTCTGAATGCAGGCGGGTCTTCTTCAGAGGGCTTAGCTTCTTTGTAAGATTTTCAATATCAGTTAGCCCTTCAAGTCGAGCATTTCTCCGAGCCTGGGTTCCATAGTAAATTCCACAAGTATGCTCTATGTCTCTCCAGGCCGTTTATTTGTAGCCTCGATGATTCATTGAGAATGTGGGTGCAGGGAGTCCAACCATGGTGCCGCGGTAAACCACGGCGATATTCTGGTCATCGTCTGGATCTCTATGAAACGCAGTCAAAAAGCAGATTGGCTGAACAGGCTGGTTCCGGACAGCCCTAACATTGAAGGTAAGGTTGTTCTCATTTCGAGATGAGAGCCAGAGAATAGACGCGCCCAAATTCTCGTAAAGCTTGACGGAAATCTCGCATACTTCCAGTCGCACTAATACAGCTGCGGTACAACGTTTCCCGTACCTTCACATCAAGCCCGAGCGATGCTACACCTTCTGCTGCAAAGGCTGCTGTGAGGCAAGTTCGCAAAACGTTGTCAGGATCGATATTGCCTGAAACCTGAGCGACCCATTTACACAATGCGAAAAGAGCATCCGCGACTGCGCCAGCACATCGCGTATGCCTCGCCGCGCAGACAAAGGCTCTCGCAATGTTGTCGGCACCTCCCGCCCCAGCCAAGATAGCCCTGGCCACCTCTCCTTGTCCTGGCCCAAACACTGACTTCCACCACAGAAGGGCTTCTCGCACAACTATGATTTCGTTACACTGAAGACCTTTCAACCCAGCATCTGCACTTCCCGAACTTTTCTGAATGATGACCGCCACGCTTGATTCTGCAGATAACAGACGGGTTGCAAATCGAAAGTACTCTACGGCCATATCTTTTCGAGAGTCGTAATTTCCATTTGTGAATGACTGCAACCCTTCAAGTGAGTGCTCTAACGACATCCTCAAACAGGCCAGGGCCCGACCTTCCGCTTCGGTACCACAACCACCATCAAGGAATTCGACGACATGGGGAGCAATCTCGGCCACTGCCGACAACCATACTGTTTCACCATCTTCACCGGACCTTCGAAAGCATTCTGCTGCCAAAGACATGCAAGACATTGCCAACACTGCTCGACCACAACCGACAGATGAAGCTGGAATTCCACGCGTGTCTTCATTATGAGCAAGGGCAGCTGGGCGTGGTTGCTCGTCGTCAAGAAGTGTTGGAAGGACGCAAACTTCTAGAACACGACAGATTGCCCTTGAGACGGTCTCATTGCCACATCGGGAAATTGCAATTTCAAAAATAGTCCCTCGCAATCGAGAATATACATTCATCGCAATCTCGTTATCGTTCACCTCTTGCAAACCCGCTGCAACTAATCCAAGCGAACGACATACCTTTTGTTCGACCGTAGATGTTTCTTGTTCATTGCGTGTCGACAATAAATATTTGCATGGTTCCTCGAGAATTATATTCAAGGCCTTTTGCCGTTCACCTCGCGTTTCAAGGGCGGAAGTCACTTTTGCTAGGCCCCTGACACAATTGAGAGCTGCCTTATCAGACATTTGCGATAAAGCTCTTGTTCCTGACGAAAGGAGGTCAGTTAAAAACATCCTGAGTCGTTCTGGATGCGCATCTGCTAGCTCATAAAGAAACTCTGATGACTTCTCGTTCACCTGTGGGTCAAGTATCCCTGTTCCGGCGCAATGTAATGCGCGGCGAAACTCTGCTTCCGAACCCTGATCGGAAAGCAATTCAGCGAATGAACACATCGCAGAAAGCGCGAAAATCTTGACTGATGCGTATCCATTCCCTGCTTCACGACTGTTTGCGGAGATCGTCTCAATGAGATCTAATATCCTTCCGAGCAAGCCCAGCACGACATGCCTGTCTTCCTTTTGCGAACCCACGCTTTCATCGATTTCGCCTGCTACCGCCACAGAGAACAAAGCTGCGCAAAGGGAGCGAGTCGATACGTTCCAGTCAGTCTCGAAAAACGGTTTAATGACCTCGACATATCCTCCAATACCAATGCATTTTGTGGATTCAAGCAGCAAATCTCTGACGCAAACTAACTCATCGTTTGTTTCGGGACATCCCCGACCGTGAGATTCCGTGAGATCGGCCATGAACTGCAGCGACGTGATTCTCTGCACGACTAGACGCACGACATGGGCGACTCTTTCCAATACTAACCGTGCCTGGTTTTGCTCCACGAGGTTAGCAGCCGTGATCCAGCTTGTCCAACCTTGGACAGACGCAAAGAACGATGCATCGTCTCTCAACTCCAGGCACAAAGTCAACAGTTGTGTAGCCTTTTCCACTATCAAAACGCTGTTCGTGTTCACCTGCTCGAGGAGTTCATCCGCATTGCCATCGGAAAGCGAGCTAACAACTTCGGCAATTGCGTGATGCACAGTGGATTGGCCAGAACACCCGCGTACATGTTGAAAAGTAGACAGTAGGCCATCGCAGGTCCCCATGAGCAACTGCATATTGGAGCCGCTATAGCCAACCATTTCGGCCAGTGTCTCTGAGGCATCATCCGCGAGCTGCGGCACGCGAATTGCTTTTAAAAGCACTGAAGCAATAGCATTTCGGTCTGCATACCTTTGCCAGGCGTGCAAGCACAAAACCGCAGCGCGCAGATCCGGAATGGACATTGGCTTGTGTGGCGAAAGGGGAGCGGCATCAAGCGAAGCCAAGACGGCAACGGGGGAGGTAAGAACCTCGTGGGCCTTGGACTGGCAAAATGCCCGCATAACGGCGTAAGTCTCGACGTGACTGTCAGACGTATGGTCGATTTCCTGGACGGCGGCGGCAAGGGCATTGCATTTGAGGACGTGGTCACTTCCCAGCTGAGATATCAAGGAAGCCCACATAACATCGCGCAAATTGGGTGTGTGGGCCATACTCAAGCAAAAGCCGGAGGTCTTACCGAAGAAGTGAACGGGGGAAGTTGCGGCCGCGCCAGCAGAACTAATGTGCTTGGCCCTTTCCAGACCCTCGAGGACGAGATGGAAGGCGGTCAAAAAGTGAGCCTCGTTCGCAAAAGTGAGCCAATCGGCTCTAGTCCTTGCATGAATAGTATTGGCGGCGAACATGAGGGCAGCGTGAGAGCTGTCTGGGTTGCGTAAGATGGCACAGCAAACGGGCCATGCCGCTGAGGAGGCGCGGAGACCTGCGAGGTAGCGGTCAGCTTCGACAAGACGGGCGTCACCCAGATGGAGAACAGCGATAGCTTGCTCGACGGTAGCGGCGGCGGCGAAGTCGGGCTGAAGCAGGTGGCGAGGTTGCATGGTCGTGAAGGAGAAGGAAGGATCGACCTCTAGCCCGATGGCATATCGGAGGGGTAGACGCGACAGTGAAGGCCATACAAAGGAGAGAGGGAAAAAGGGGGATGTGTTGGCGGCCGGGGGCGGGGGGTTGAGAGGGGAAGGGGGGTGGAATATGGAAGAAGAGGGAGGGACAAAAGGGATTTCGGTCGGGTAAGCGGGGCTAGCTCTTTGCCAGCTGGATGTTGATCCGCGGCCGATATCTCCCAAGCAGAAATGATTTCAATTTATAATGTGTGACACGTTGCATACCTGGCAAAATGCTTTGGACCTGAACACCTGAGAGGATCAAATTTGCGCAGAGCACTCTCACGCGGAGCATGGCAGACGCAGACACGATCTCAGAGCGGCCCTCGTCGAGTTATCAAGTCACAGTGAAGAGGGACATGATTCTGAATATGAAGAAGCTGCGCATGGGTGATCGACTTTCAGACAGGGCACTGCGAACAAATTCTAGAGGAGTTTACTGCTAAGCGCGCGGGAAGACAACTATAGGTACAGGCACCACTACTTTAGGTTCACAAGAAACACTAGACCGGGGGGCAAGAGTGAAACGCGATAACCCAACACAGCGAGCGCGGGTATCAGCGAGTAAACGGACCAAGGACCCTGGCAAGATTACCACAGGCGAAAGGCACTGCGGCCAAAAAACTGAGACATAGCGAGGGGAACGGCACTATCTGAACTCACAGGTGCACTGAGCGGCGAGTGCCAAAATAGGCATTTCATAGGGCCTTTGGCCATGAGGTGGCGAAAGCCATTTCGTCCAATAAGAACGCTCCGGACCGCGGCCATCCATACTTGGATGGCTGGCATTGGGCGACGTATCTAGTCGGACCAAAAGTGAGAGTTTTGTATGCACACCATCGTAGATTTAACTATTAATTAGTAATCTACACTCGACGGGGGCGCGGTATCGCGCCCACCAGTCTCGGACCGGATGACATAAAGTTGTGTGACCGGGGGCAGCTCGCCCCCCCCCCACACGGGAGAGGAACTCACTCTCGATCACGTATATGGCTCACCTCGTTCAGCGAGGACACGAATCACCCTACACCAGGCTATTCTTAGTACTGAGAGTGCTACGAGCTGACAGCAAGTAGCGTCATGCCTTACTGCAGTTACAGTCGAGTGACGCCAAGCGGGCGCAAGTATGGCTGCGGTGAGAGATCACACGAGGGTGAAGAACAGTGGGGGTGAAGAACAGTGCGGGCGATGCCGTGAGCATTGTCTGTGCAAGAGTTCGAGGGCCTCATGTGGTTTCGGGGAGGACCGAGGAAGTCACACTAGCTATCGGGAGCAGTGTAGACAACCGCCTCCAGACGAAAAACTAGCCGGAAGAGGAGGAGTACCTCCGCCCAGGCCAGACGACCCTTGGAGTGAGTGCGGCAGCGGCTGCTCTCAGGAATTGAAGGAGGGCATCACGCCTGTGTCTGCCGGGCAGTACAGGGTTCTGCCGAACGGTTACAAGTTACCCGTCCAGTATTGGACAGACCAGTCATCTGCCAGAAGAGAGGACGGCACACCTGCGCACGGAGGCGGGCGAGACCACGATGGGGAGAAGACGAGACCCTGTGTGGATTTGAACGCGTGGTGGTCTACATGTGACGCCCTATACTGCAGTTATGGGAGGATTCATGCGCCCCAACCAGGCGTCTGGATAACATATACTGGCGGTCAACTGGTGCTACACCGGAGAGGTGTCGTTACGACGCTCACCCACATCTCGGACTTGATGGATACACCTTGGGTGGGGCAGAAAGGACGCAATAGACTAGCCGTGGCTGCAGAGCAGAGGTGGCTAGTTGGGGAAGTTCTGAGGCTGGTAGGCATCGGGACTGTCGAGCTGGCCTGCTCCGGTGGAGGCGGGTACGGAAAGATAGTGTTCGATGTGCCCATCCCGGCTTACCCGGAGTATCTAGCTGTACGTGGTCTGGAACCTGTAATATGGGACCCAAGCTTATGGTGGGTGGACGTCGTTAATTACACAGGAGTGGGAAACGGGCCACCGTGGGTAGTGAGCAATCTTCTAGTACCTAAGTGCCACGACAAGGTGCGCACAGGGAGGGTCATACCCCAGCCTACTGTGAGTGACTACGGTTGGAGAGGAGACACGGAGGCATGCGGCATCGACCCTTGGACAGTGGTTCGAGTTGGTAAGGACCCGCGTAACAAACAACCACTGTATGCAAGGGTTGTTGATTTAATGGACGCTACTGCACCAGGCGTAATTATAGATGTGGGCAATATGAGTGATATTGCGCACTGCCCAGGACAGCTACTGCTGGCGGGTACGTCTAAGGGAGTGCATCTGGTGCCTGCTGCGAATATGGTAGGGTCACCTACCGGAAGGTTTGACTCTGAGTATGTCCAGGTGGGAGAACCTGATGCAGTTTTGGCACCTACGAGGCTCGACAGCCGTGACGCTACATCGCGGATGATAAGAGTGTCGAGGGCGATGGGCAGCGCTAGTACGGAAACGATTAGCAAACCGGGTTGGCTAACACCGAAGGAGGTACTACTAGCGTTGTGCAGTGGGACCGACCAACTACCTCTGAATAACGAAACTGGGTGCTACTTAACGTTGAGGGGTCGCAAATCCTACAACGACCCGACCGTGACGATGCGGCCGGTTACCGTGAGACTGCTGTGCGAGGCGGACCTTCTGGCCGCTACACCAAAGGGGACGCTCGTCTCTCACCCAGGGAGATGGCTCCTAGGCATCTCAGATTGTCATATACGGGCTTACGGCCCCGGGGCAACCCAGTTGACGGTGGAGTCGCTTGACTGGGAGGTCAACGGTACCAGGTGTGGAGTTCGGCCACTACCATAACAATTTAGTGGGAGGGCAGCTGACGACAATCAACAAAAACATCTCGCGCACTACCTTTTACCAAGGGGAGGGACAACAGGTTGCTCGGCGCACAAGCATCCCCATCCAATGTAATAATAATGCACGACAAAGAGCCGAACTATCCCCGTCGACAGACTACCATTGTGAGTGCGCATATCTACTATACCTGTAGACCCATCGACTAATGCCGTCACTCCTTCCTTCCCCTGCAAGCCCTCTACTTCATGTACAACACTGCGTCGGGCAACTCTGCACTGATCCCTGACGACACAACCGTCAACGATTTCAAACCGCTGGTGTGGGCCGGCACCGTGCATGTCATCTCCTTCGCTGACCTCTTGGTCACCACGCACGTCTTGCTACCGATAGTTACAGTCGTCGAAGCTCCGAACCCACCCCCTCCAACAATGATTTCTGTGCCTCCCCCCTTTCCATGCCTGAACGGCACAGCCCCCACCACGTACAATCCTGCAGAGGCCGTCACATCCGGTCGAAGCACAAACACATCCTTCTCGCTAAGCCTTGGGAAGATCAGATCTCCGTGCGCATTTTCCACGAAAGTGATTCCACCATCCGACGAAAGCTGATCCGGGCCGCTCGTCACCGCCCCGCCATTGACCCCCATCCTCCACGTCTTTCCGCTCTTGTACGTTGACATGATCAGCTCCCCACGCAGCTTGCCGCAGAAGTGATTCGCTCTGTACTCTCCGATTCCAGTCAGGGGGCTCTGCAATGTCGTCATTGCTTTCTTGTACTTCGAAGGGGCCGGTTTGTCGTCGGCTGTGAGGTCATCGAATGGGTCTATCCAAGCACACTCGACACCGCCGCGATTGATGTTGGGATGACCATACCAACTGCCTGGCGTTACGTGCAGAATTTTGTCAGGCCTGCTCAGACTGAACGGACACGACACCCATCCATGTCTCACCTTGCCCTCCCAGTCGACTTCGGCGTCGGGATCCCAAGCTGCGGCTCTTGCTTCGTCGTAATCGCTACAACTTGCAGACGTGTCTCCAAAGCTGCAGTTCGGTCCATTATCCGTTGCGTAAATTTGCTCTTTCCCTGTCATGGTGATTGAGAACGAATTACGCAACCCAGTCGCGTACAAATCCACATCTCCAGAAATCATCTTGGCCTTGCGCGGCTCGGTAGGGAACTGATATTTGATATCTCCATCAAAGCTGGGCTTCGACAATCGAGCTATGAGAACGGCCGCAGAGTATTCTGACTCCCAGTATCCGCCAAGCTTGTAACCAGGCAAACCCATGTTCGTGTTTCCACCAACGGTAATCAGCAAATCTCCGTTCTGCGTAAACACCAATCCGTTCACTGAGTGGTCATGGTTGGAGACAGGAATGCCACTGACGATTCGCTTGTCGTACACCAAGCAGACGCCCGAGTCTGTTGGATCAGTGCCCGGCTTCAAACGGTCAACGGCTCCATTCGACCATACGTCCTTGATGCTCCGATCTACACGTTCCCGCTCATGCCAGAATATCGTACTTGTCGATACGTATGGTTTCATCTCCTTGTCACGAGGATCGAATGTTATGCCGAGAATATCCCGGACAGCAGGAATACTGTTCTTCGTGTATTTAGAGTCTTTCAATGCTTTAGAGTGACATTGTGATGTCATCTTAAGAGTATCAACATCGTACTCAACCACTTGGACGGTGCCACCTAGAGTACCAAGGTAGATCTTGCCATCTTGTCCAATCGCAGCAGAAGTAGGCAGCTCAAGAGTGTCCAACGGACTGCCATTCGCTTTCTTCAGCTCCGTCCTAGTGAATCCAATGGAATCACATGACTCCGCACCACCGTACGTGAAGGTTAGCGCGTTGCTACTGACTTCCGTTCCTGACGTTGTTCTAATTTCGACAGGACCAGCGCTTGCCACCGTCGGCGACTTCACGAAGAACTGAGTGGGAGACTGACCTGAGTCGAGAACTGTGACTGTCTCACCCGCGAACTTGACAGTGAACGGAGTGAACAGCCCGTAACCAGTCACCTTGACCATTGTGCCACCTCGAATTGGCCCTTCCGCAGGGGTCGCCGATGTCAAAATAGGAACTACCATCTTCCGGTCATGACTAATCCTGGGGGCGGCGGGGGCTGCCCCATCAACAAGGAAATGCAGCTTTGGTGTCGCCGACAGCGTGGTGCGGAGATAGACGACCTCAAAGCCAGTGAGACCGACTGCCAAACTCGTCTCTGCCGTGTCGGATGTTGCTGTATCAAGAATAATATCCTCACCCTTGTAAACTCTCGCAATACCACTTCCGAACGTTGACACGGAAATCTCACTCAACGGAGCGTCTGTGTTGACTTCTAGGAAAAACGTGCATTTCACTGCAAATTGGGTATCAGAGAAACTGAAAGATGGAAAGCCTAGTGTCGCAGATTGGACGACAGCCGCAAATGCCGGGTTCTGCGATGCGCCTTCCTCTCCAATTTTCGGTAACTCGTCAAGACCGTCATAAAAGTAGCAGTACTGTCCTGCTTGGATGGCGCCAGTGACCGTGACGGTAGTTTCCGCCTCATCAGTCGTGCAGGAATTATCTGTGACCGATAGCTTTAGGCGCGTTGTGCCGAGCGGAAACCTGTACGTAAACGACTGCTTACGGGAGACCACTTCTCCTGTCTCAGCGATACTCCATGTGTAGTCCGTGATTCTGCCAATAATGTTGTTGGCAGAGTCAAAGAAATGAGAGTGACTTCCTCTGCCGTCAATAGTCACAGGAACAAAACCGTCTCCATCGCTGTCTACATACGTCCGCGGCGAGTTGACGTTGAGCTGTGGAGGATAGGATCCAGGGACGGAGTGTGCAGCGTGGTCAGCTGCAAGCTCTCCTGATGTCGATGCAGGTACGCAGGCTGCTTTAGCCTTCTCGACGATGATGTAGTTGATTTGAGCCTTGTTCACAATGCCGGAAAATCTGATTGTAAAAGGCTTCGTTTCCACCGCTCCTACCGTCTGGCCTTTCAGAGTCACCTCCACACCTTTACGGCAACCACCTGCTTGTTCGAAGATATCAAAGCTCTCTAACTGGATCATCTCATTGACATAGACGTTGAAGACCCGCTTCCCTGCTCCGCTGCAGAACCTTGCGAAGTTTTCGGAAAACACTAAAACCACGTCATACGCACCAGGTGTTAAGTTAAAAGAGTAGGTAAAGTCGGGCCCAACTCTTGAACTCTTCAAAAACTCTGCGTTGACATTCGCGGTGGGCATGACAGGATCTGATATAACTTCTTTTCTCGTGCCAGGCAACGTTATGTCTCCAGGTCCGCCGACGTTTACCTCTGCGGAATCCATGGCTGGACCGCTCGGCGTGTCGGGTGTCGGTGAGGGTGGCACAAAGGCGGTGTCGCTCGTTGTAATTTGGAAAGCACTAATCATCGCATTGTTCACAGAGCTCTTGAAGCCTAATGCGATCTTCCCTGAGGAACCGATGCCGATTCCATTGATTGATCGCGAGAGCGCGGTGCGGCACCCAGCCTCCTTGAAAACGTCCAAATTGCGGATAGTTTTCCCCGTCGACTTGTCACTCTCGCCATCGTACACATACACATCAAATATTCGGAATCCATCTCTACACCCAGGTTGGAAAGCTTCTGCGAAGGAAAGCAAGACGTTGTATACCACGTTCGGATTCACGTTAAGCACGTACGTGAAGTCTGCCCCATATCTGTGACGAGAGTATCTCGCGTCTTGGGTCGTGCCCTCAATCGGGAAGACGTTAGAGAACGCCGTAGTACGGCCAGTGACAGCGGACAGCTTATCAGTCGCACCGGCGGCGTCAAGATCCCTGACAATTGTCTGGGAACCTCCTGGAGGTGCAACACTAGGCACTGGTGAGGCAGATGACGGTGCAGCGGGAGCCGAAGACGCGGATGCATCAGGAACTGGGGAAGCGGGTATGGAAGGAACCGAGGATTCAGATGCACCAGGAATGGGGCTTGGTGGCGGGGGAGCAGATGTAAGCCTTACAACGCGGAAGTTGGCCAGGAAGGGAGGCAACCCGGAGACAGGAATCATTGTGATGATTAGTTTCCCGTCCTCGCTCACGACGACACCGCCAACGGACCTGGTGTGGGCCTTTTTGCACCCAACTGCCTTGAATGTGTCTATAGCCCGAGTGCCCTTATTGTTGACAGTGGCCTTAAACACCCGTCTCCCATCGCGACAAGCGTTGGTGAAATATTCGGCGAAGCCAAGGGTAACTCGGTAGGTTCCAGGGGGAACAGTGCGCTCGTACTTGAAGCCTCCGGCCTTTGCCGCAGTGCTGCGGAAGTGAAGGGCAAGGGAAGCTGCACGCGAACGAGAGAACTGCACGCCGCCGTCGAGGTTCGCAGGTACATGCTTGGTCCAACCTGGGGGAGTGGCCCCATTCGAAAAAACAACGCTGGCTACCCGCGGTGATGCTTGAGGCGGTACGGCCGTCAGGCTTCCTGTCTCGATAATTTGGACGTTTGCAAGGAATGGAGCAAAACCATTGACAGGCACAGCCCCAATTTTGATGACACCCCCAATAGCTTGGACACGGCCAATAACCCTGAACAGAGGCTGATTGCATCCTTTCTGGTCGAAAACGTCAATTGGTGGCGTAGACTTGCCGTTTGCGGTCATTTGGAAGACTCTTGCACCCGTCGTGCATTTTGAAAATTCCAAAAAACCAAGCTTGACTCGATACTCTGCCGGCTTTGTGTTGATAGTATACTCAAAGCCGCCGCGTTTCTTCACGAAACTTCGAAAGGGAGCCGGTAGACTTGCACTACCTTTCACGATCCCAGTGCCCGGAGATAGATCAGCGGGGTTGTACTTCTCGTATCCAGGAGGGGCGGGTCCGGACTTGGGAAAAGCAATCCTTCGTCTGATGGTTTGTGCGTCAGTGACACAAAGGCCGAGGACGAAGGCCAACGCCAAGAGCTGGAATGAATAGAGTGCGCGCATGTCGCAGGATTTCGGCAAGCTGGAGATGCTGGCACGGTAACAGGGTCTGCGCAGTTTGTCGTGGAGTCGCGGAAACAGCGACCTTTTCAACGCAAGGACCGAAGATGGATAGCCGATGTGTCGGCGCAAAAAAGAGACGGGCAATAACGCGGTAAGGAAGGCAAGAGCGAAAAGGACTTCGGTGTGGTGGATAGGTTCTCAGGTGCACGGCCTGGTACAACCTGACAAAAAATTACTACATGTACTGGTCTAGGCTTACTGAACAAGTAAACAGGCCGAAAAACGGCCTTCTATGAAAGAAGTGTATCCTACAAAAGAACAGCACTGGTGGGATTACAGGTGCATAAGTGTTTTGGAAAGGTTACGTGAAACGGGACAACCCATTCAGAATGGTGCAGAACAACATAGCATCTGTTGCACAGTATGTGTGCGCATGGAGGTACAGTGTACATATTGGTTGCTGAATGACCTTCGTGTCAGCGCCTGGACTGGAGACCATTTTAGGAGACCACGTTTTAGGGAGAAACCCAGGGAGGCCGCATGTGCGGCAAAGGGCGACATCGTGCACGCTCAAGGGGAAATGTGATCCGCCACGAGGCAAATATTGTACAGTTGAGGTGCACAGTGTTGATCAGAGTGGAGCTGCTGCACGAGGTAACTGGATGACGCCCGTGGGCGGTGGGATGGTGAGCGAGAGGAGCGCGCCACGTGATTGGGACGCTCCGTGGGATACACACCTTGCTGTACGTCTCAAAATTGTAAGCCGCCGTGTGCGCAATCCAGTAGAGTAACTTTTCTACTTGTAAATTTACAGTACATAGTACTGCACACTGCGGTAAAAGTTGACTCCATTTCTCAATATCCTCGTTTTGCATCCAGACCCATAAAGCCTTTCAACACCGGTATAATTCAATAACGCACTGTCGATCGAGTTTCCATCTTCGGCATGTCGGGATGGAGTTGCCTACAGTTTGACCGTTACGTGCGTACCCCAATGTGCGTCCCCAATGTGTGTACCCCAATTCGTGTACGCCACGCGTTTCTGTACCGTTCATCCAGATCTTCCGCTCCCAGAGAAGGCTAAAGCTTATTTGTCTATACTGTCAGATCGCGATAATTGCAACACCTAGGGAGACCACCTGGTGTTGCAGTTAACGTGGGGTTGCGGTACAGTATTGCCGTTCCAGGCCGACAAGTGGCATGAATATCCAAGAAGCCGCACCATACCATTAAATGCATCGTTTTCTCACAAAAACTAATTTCTAGCTTGGGATTGGCATCATATAAGGCAAATCCTTTGACGCCAGGGTTAGTTAGGAGTGCCTGCCGGCGAGGTATGCCCCATTAAGATTGAAAGCCGCTTTGCTGCACTCCACGTTCTGGAGTTTACAGTATGGCACTTACGCTTCTATTCTGCGTACATGTCGCGCTGTCCTACGCAAAGGTCGATATTCATGGCCTAGAATCACCTAATAAGTCCCACAAGGGACGTTTCAAGACCTGCCTTATGTTTTTCAACTCCACTCTTGGCCCACAGTAGCCCAATGATACGGCACACTGAAGGCCTGGTACATTTGGACGATCGATGGCACATCGCTGTTCCCGCCCCCAAATTCCTTCGTTCCCAACTCGCCTCACGTCATTCTGCTCACATGAGCCACAGCGGATCCCCAACGGATCCCCATCTTACATGTTCACTGACACACAGAACTCTGGCAAAGTTACTTACTGCTCAACACCACAGTATCCTACACCGTGCAGACCAATCCATGTTATGAATCGTCGACAAAATCGACATCCAATCCACTCAGAGTGTCGTGCCGCCGAGACATACTGTAGCACCTTGCGTGCACAGCATTGTGCCACAGGGCCCCCCTGTGTTGACACCACCCCGGAAGTCGAAACTTCCCTTTGACATCAACATCGAGCCACCTACGGAGTCTGGTGCCCTTCTTTTGGCGATGTCTAGAAGGCAGGTGTAAACCACATCTTCTGACAACCATTCTGGTCTGTCTGACATTGCACCGCAATTGTCCTACTTCCAAACGTGTTAGAATGGCAGTTGCATTTGAAAGGTTGCTTAAGTTTTGCTTCGCGGACGGCTCATTCTTAGATAACATTAAAATTTGATTACAGTCCGTGCTGTCGAACACGGAGCGAGATGCTAGCCCAAGTGGCTCAGAGAGCTGGACTTGAACACTGAAGTCTGGTATGCCCTAGAAGGTCTGTTGATCCAGCCATCCATGAGCCTTCTGAGTCCTACTTTGGGCCAAAACCGCAGAAAATTACTGGTGCAATGCAACACACCAAGAGAAATTGTGGGGGTTGTTCGTTCGCGTTATCGAGAAAGGTCGATTCTGGATTAATAGAACATAATATCTCTGTCGATGTCGACAGGCGTGTGATTTACATACTGCTCTCGAGAGCAACTTTATATATGTATCTAGCGATAACCCATCCAGTTGGTGTTGCGACCCAAGGAGAACGGAATCAGTTGGTTGAAACCACATGTCAACGACAACATGGTCTGCACCTCCATCATGTTTGTGCGGTATTTTGCAACCATCTGTCTGTATGGGAAGGCCTGGCAGGGCTCTGAACTTTGACAGTGGAGAAACGATTTCCATCGAGGTTTTCGACTGCCACATGCTTGGTGTTATTCCACGTAGCCGAGCTGATCTTTCAACAAAGGGCATGCAGTGCAATCATGTACAGTATCTACTGTACCCGTCTAACAAGTCTGCGGAGAGGGCTCACGGGGGGCCGTGAGTTTGTTCTTCGTGGAGTGGAAGGGAATTTGCGAAACTTGCCTGCACAGGATGGGCGCTCGTGAGGAGTTACGATTAATTTGGAAACACAACTTTTATTCGAAATGGGATAAAATCCAAGATCAGCAAGCGCTGCAGAGCCGCGTGTTGGGTATCCATGCAGTCGGTGACCACTCGGTTTTTTATTGACATTTTCAGGGTTATGATAAAATACCGGGCATGCTGAGCTGACACCGGTTCGCTTCTCGACCCTGAGGGTCTCCTTTAAGACTGTGGGAGAGACTCAAGACCTGTGGTCGTCTTTACTGGGGACATGAGCGACGACGGTGTTAA